GATGTATTGCTGATGCACAGTGTTCTTGCCCTAGAGGTACACTTATTTGCCATCATATTGCAGCATTAGCAATATATACCCACTATAATTTGAGCTCCACGGATACAGCTTGTTCCTGGAGTGCTAGGAAAAACAATACATTAGGTGAAATTAAATCAATTAATCAAATATATAATTGTATACCATGTCCGGATATAAGTGTTTCAAATGTAGATTTTGATAACTTTAGAGAGACTTTAATGAGTTTAAAACGAATCAATAACTTCCGAAAATCTTTTAGTTGACTCTATTGAAAGTCTTATTCTCGACAAAAGATGTCAATATTTAGTAAAATCAAAGGATTTTGTTGCTCTTAAAAATTATGTTCAAACTAAGATCTATGTGACAGATGTATCAATTATTCAGATAGCTAAAGATACTGTTGGACAAATTAATAATGACCTTTGGTTTAAGTATAGGAAAAATAGACTTACTGCTAGCCACTTTGGAAAAGTCCTAGCAGCCTTTAAAAAAGATAAATTTTCAAAATCTTTATTTAAATCATTAAGCAATGATACTAACCTTAGTGGTATACATTCCATACAATGGGGAATCTCTAATGAAAGTTCCGCTATAGATGTACTTAAACAAGAAGAAAATGTAGAGGTGATTCCAACTGGATTATGGCTTTCAAATAGTGGACTTTTAGGAGCATCGCCAGATGGACTAGTAGGCTCTAATTATACCGTTGAAGTAAAGTGTCCATGGAAGTACAGAAACAAAAATCTTAATGCTGAAATTGAAGTAGATCATACTTACATAGTATACAAAATTAATGGGAATTTGATTGTAAACAAAAAACATCCATACTGGGATCAAATCCAAGGCCAGCTTTATTTAACAAATCGTGAATTTTGTTACCTAGTTATTTGGACCCCTGAACAAGTAGTTATAGCTGTAGTTGAAAAAGACACCAAATGGGCAATTAATTTGGAAATTCTAGAGCAGTTTTTTATTCAGAAGTATATACTCTACCTTACTGAAGGATAACCGTTGTTTTATTATTTTATAAACTTTTATTAAGAATGCAGGTAGCAATTTTCTATAGAATTTTAGTTTTGTAAAGTAATTTAATAATTTTGTGAACTATAAAAATTAAAAATGTAATGATGTACATTTWACAATATACTATAATATGATTATTATTTACAGTTTACATATTTCCTTGAACTTCTTTAATTAAAGGAGGCTGTAGATTTGTTAATGCAGCAACTAATTGAAAAATACTTTCAGCTTGCTTCAACATTGTGAAAGGAATAAAATGTATTATGGAATAGCATTTTATTCTTTGTATTGCTCTTTCAATGTGGATCCGTGCCTTAGCTATAACTTCTGTTTGAACAACTTGATTTGGTGTAAACTGAGGAGTATCTAAAAATGGTGGAATATTTAAAGATACTCCGTGAGGTAAAATGTCCCTGATTAAAAACCCCTTATCTGCAATAATAAGATCTCCGGCGAACATTTTCTCTAAAAGACCACTATTTAATGTTACCATCTTGTCTGATGTAGATCCAGGAKACAATGAACTGACAAATGTAACAACACCATTCGGGGCAATTCCTATTAGTGCTTTCCAGGTATTTCTGTGCTTATATGAACTATATGTGTCTCTCTGAATATTCATCGACTGACGTGATRCAGCAGTAAATACTTCAGTGCAATCTATTATTATACGGCAGTTGGTAAATGACTTGAATGCACCAGGTAAACATTTTTTGTTTTTTTCTCTAGTTGGAATACTACTCATGCATTTAGTAAAAAGTATGGCATGTAAAACATTAATCCATGTAATGACAACATTACTTACAGTTGCTTTACTGCAGTTGAATTTTACTGCTAAATCAAAATGTGGTAAATTGTTTCTCAATTTAACTAACGTCATTAGTATTTGATCAATTTTACTGATACTTTCAACATTCCAATTTAAATGATATTTAATCTCTGCATTTTTCACTAAATTGTAAAGAGCAATAAATACTTCACTTGATGGTATGCCAGTATAAGAAGTTAATAAATCTTCATTTTGAACTAAATTTTCAAATGTGAATGACAAGCTTAATGTATTTAGTTTCAATTTCATTTCTTCATTTTGCTTTTTTAGAAAATAATTTTCAGTTTCGAGTATGGTCAATGAGGTCGATGACATAATGACTTCAGATACTCTAAAAAAAAAATTAAATTTATTATAATATTAAATCATAATATTCAAAAAATGAATAATACCCTTGGGGGTTAGACTTTGTTGATTCATCAAGATCAAGTGCTGTATTGATTTCAAATTCGCTGTTATTAAATATTTCATCTTCTTTCTCTTCATTCATCATAAGTTTTGAAAAGTTCTTGCGGGTCTTTTTCTTTTCTGGTGTAAGATGATGAGTTTCAAATTGATTTAAACGATGAGGAAGTATTGTAGGACCATTTATTTTATTTCCATCTTGAAAGTGACAGCTACAYACACGAGCACCTGATTTAGGTTCATCTGTTCTTCTAATATAATAAATATGATTTATTCATCTTTGAACCAAAAAGTTATGTAGTAAAATAAAAATAAATCACACAACATTTCAAGCAACCCTAA